TTGCCTCTGAGCGTACCGTTTCCACGCACTTTCTACAGGTAACCCCAACCATCACATGAAGTCGATGTTAAGTTTAGAATGTTGTCAGCTAGCATTCTAGCCGTTTTGAATAGCTTCAAACGGCAACGAAATACAAACTTAACACCGAGCAATGGCTGGGGTTCAGAGAGCTGCGTGAGCTAAGATCAAACGGTTCCATACGCATATCCGTGAGTGATAAGGGTGGCGAATTCGTAGTTATGTCACAATCGCTAGACCGTGCCATAACGGAAATTCATTTGCGGGACTTCCACCGTCTATCGTCGCGTGTGCGAAAAGGACTTTTCATCCCAATGCAAACGACTCAACCGTGCATGGTTGTGCATAGGAAAATCTGCAGGACTCGATGACAAGTTCATTAGTAGACTCAAACTGGACAATCCCAATTGTCCGGTTTTCTATAGCCTTTTAAAGACCCATAAACTTGCCTCTCATGGAAATATGCTGCCAATGCCCGCGGATACATATAAGATCCGGCCTATCATAAGCTTGCGTGGGTGGGCCTACCGACCGAATATCATGGTTTCTTAACACCATCGTCAGTCAACTTCTACTCATGGTTCCCTCTCACCTGTCGAATACGAGTCATTTCCTTGAACAACTACGGCATTGTAATATCCCAAGCAATGCTGTGGTAGAGTCATTTGATGTTACATCGCTTTATACTAATGTCCAAAACGAGCAAGCCCTTCCAAGCATTATCCGAAATGCTTGACAGGCATATTGCTAATATACGAACCTTTGGACTTGGTAAAGCACACATAATGGCTCTAATCAAGGAATGTTTGAACTGTAACATCTTTAAATGGGCAGGTACATACTACTCTCATAGCGTAGGGGGGAAGACCGGATTTTTCTTCGTGCGACCGCGCCCTGCCAACACGTGACTGTCTTACGGAGGGGAGGCGACAATAGTCGTGAGAACAGTAGCACCACCGACCACCACCACACGAACGAAGCAGTTCAAAGTGGCGGAACACTCGGAACGGGTCACTGTGATCGACGACACTCATCTCTCGCCTAACGCTTTAAGTTTACTAAGTCTTGGTCCGTCGTTCTCGCCAGCCCAAAACATCACAGCACAAGTGTTTCGAAAAGTAGTTGGGGGTCTTCAAAGGCTTAGAGATCTACTACGCATTAATAGCCAGCGTCGTGAAGAGCCGCAGATGACGCGCCCTTATCAAGGATTGCCTCTGAGTGTACCGTTTCCACGCACTTTCTACAGGGAGCCTATCACATCGAAGCTGACGCCCCTTCTTCCGCAGCGAACAAGACTATAGTTCCGCTTCCACTATCAGCACGATTTAAACTTTGGAGAAATTGCGAATGCGATGAACATGAACGGGCAATCTTCACAGAGGGGCAGAGTCAGGTATCCCGAAAGGTGAGATCGTCGTGGATGCGCGCTATCATATACACTGCGTTCGGCAAAGATTTTGTATTGAGTTTCCATCATAGTACAGGTAGCACACGGAGGGTGCATAAATTTAGTGAGTCCCGCAATACATCTCAAAAATAAGCACAGTGACCGACATGTTTCGGTCATGAGAATTTTATACTTGATTCGAAAGTCATTGAATTATTTTGTTTTATAGAGATCGGAAAACGATAATCCGCCCGTGCAAGTGACTGCTGTGTCACGTCTACTTTGCAGTGGTGCGAGTAAACATACTGATCTCACAGGTTTGCCTTGTTTGTTATATTTTTGCATTTCTTTTTGGGCTTCTCTATTCTCGCAGTATTCTGGCAATGAAAACGATCTACACTAATGCTGTCATTGTTTCTTTTCCAGTAAGCGTTGATGGCTTCACATACCAACGCGTTCGATACTTCCAGTGCAGTTCGCAGTGGCAAACACACATTAAATCATTCCCTGTGTCTCTTATTTCCCAAGGTGTAGGACCCATGGGCATGTGATCTTGACTTTTTTTTCTGTGCATTACTAACCGTCATATACATATATTTTCACCTGCCGTGGTCTGATCAAAGTAGTTTGTTATCTCTTAACTGAGAATACTTTCAATGCTTGCTGTTTACTCGAGTTGCTTGCCCAAGTTGTGTCTGGTATTCGCTTTCCTCCATATGTGCGCCTTTTCTTTGATTCGTACATTAACCCTGTTTATACAACTACTCTCCTTTTCGCGGCATAGTCGCCCACTGACGTACCTATTTGCGACTTTCTTTTGAATTGCCTTTCATACCCACCTGATATACCTTCTCGAACCATATTTGTTAATTGCTTTGATTTTCCAACGTGTAGAACCTTTATGGGGTACCTTTCCTCGTCTTCCAAATGCATGCGTTTTCTCGCCCGATCATTTCAAATCTGAACATATTGGTGCTTTTATACTGCTACATAATCTATTAATTTGTCTCATAATGCTAGAGCTTATTGTCTATGACGCCACAATCTGGTCCTCATTTGTTTCACATTCCTCATATGATGCTATTTGTGATTGATTAGTGTTACGCTTATAAATATCAAATACTAGATTTGGCGATGACTGCGCTGGCAGTTTTGTCTAAAAGCCCTTGAGCACTGGTTGCCGATCGCGATATACAGGGGAGGGGGGCAAAAAAGACACTTTGGCCGAGTCACATATCAGTAAAGTTTTCGCAGCCCAGATAGAAGACGTGAGTACCAGGGCGGAAGATACCCAAGATGTTCCTCGATAAGCAGGAGCAGGCTCTCGCCCATCACCTTCATGTACACCAAAATATGAAGTCATCTCCAATCGCAGCCTGACTGGAGAAGGCCTATGGAATTCACGTCACCTCCAAACAGCTGCGAAACTTCTTGTATGGAGTCACCCATGGACAGCTACCTGGAGACCAGCACTCTTGATCTGGAAGACCTCCAACATCGAGCAGCTCCGACAACGTCGCTACGGTCCAGGATATCTTCACCGCAGTCGCCAAGGCGCGGGTTGATGGTATGGACCGGAAGTTCCTGGAATGGGAAGACCGCTGTTTCTGAGGATCCATCGGGAATCGGCCGGAGCTGTGGGTAATCGGGAGATCTTTTGTCAGTTCAGCCTGAAATATTTCTCCGCGCTCCTCACTATCAGCCTCAGACTTCCATGCTTTATATGGCCGCGTTCATACTTTGCGTCATCGTATGCCGGCGTAAACGTACGGCAGCGTTTCAAGCGTACGCCAGCGGCTAGAAAAGCATGTATATCGATCTAGCACGCCGGTGTACTCGTCGGCCGTAAGCAGTGTATCGCATCTACTAGGAAAGCATGACATAGATCTAGCGAGCGCTCCGCAAAAAGCTCTCCGAAAACACTGACGTCGTGTAGATACTCTTATACTGTTCAAGGCCCTGGCTTCGCATAAACGCTCGAATACGCTGCCAGGCGCTAGCGCAAAGTCGGCGTATGCTAACCAAGATTAAACCGGAGCGCCATTCTGGCTATAAATGGGAGTACATCTGCGGCCGACGCAGTGCAATGCCTCTACGTGTCTACTTCAAGAAAGTGTTCAGTTTTTCCCAGGGGACTATGCAAGTGTCGCTGAGGCTGTTCGCTGATTTTCCTCACGTTTTTTTTACTTTGGTGTCCTTTGTGGATGCAATAGTCTAAGCTCGCCTCCCGCGAAAAGGGGCGCTGTCGTGGCGTTGCATTGAGCGTGCTACGCGCGCACAGCCCCGTTGGTAGGAAATGAACTGACACTACAACGAACAGTTGCTCGCTCCGAACAGCTTAGTGAGAACAACGCTTAGCCCGCAACTCATACGCCTTACATCATAGGCGACATGGACCGTTATCGATGGGAACTAGGAAAATGCCTCCACCCAGTCAAACTGCACTGCGTTCATACTTTGCGTCAGCGTACGGCAGCGTTTGAGCGTACGCCAGCGCCGCATCCGGGGACAGGTATCAATCTAGCGTGCGCCAGCGTACAGCAGCGTCTTCGCAGGACAGTCTGCCAAGCATAAATCGCTCGCGAAAACGCTGGCGTTCGCTGGCATCTGCCGCACGCTAAATCGATATTCGTACTTTCCTAGTCGCTCAAAACGCTGACATAGTTGGATTCGCCGACGTGGAGTATGAACGCAGCTTTAGAAATTTTTATCGCTAATCTTCCCTACTATTGGCAAAGAATCTCCAATTCAATTCAACTAAATTTATAATCGCTGCTTCAGGATGCTGAAAATTGCTCCGAAAGTGAAGTAGAAGCAGAAGATTGGTCGTCTGAAACTGAGAAGGAACGCGAGAAAGAGGAAATCCGGGCTGCTCTGGCGCAATCTCATGTCATATCGAAGGATTCAGTTGGAACGCCATTTGCTGGTTTTGGCGATCTATCGCATACGCCCACTAGCGTTCAGACAGTGAGTTTATAGTTCGCAATAAAACCAGGTTATATAAGTAGTTGCGGACGAAGGGGAGTGTCAGGAGAGCGAAGTTTGGCACGGTGCCAATCCCGATCTGCACAGTTGCTGAAGGGAGCAAGTGACAGGAACTTCATCATGTCATTCGTATCACTCGTTTTCTACCGGTTGTTGTCGTCTACGTCAACGGGTTTCGTGCCGTGGCACACTCATACTATCACGCACGTCCTTTCATCCGCAGCGAACTAGAGTATGTATATGTGTAAAATTGTAATATTTGCAACTATCAGCTGAAATATGAGCAGACTACTTTGAAGGTGCAGGCTCGTATTGGATCCATTAGCAGCGCACCACTAGTAGCAAGTACTTCTCTTGGTGGAATTTCTCATTCCTTAACGGCCGGCTCAATCGCAAAGAAATTGACGAGCACAGGTTCCACCGATAGGGGGATGTCTGTTTCTGAGCAGGTAGGCAGCTGCAACTTTTTCGTTTTATAGTGAGATTGAATAAGTTGGGTCACCTTCAGCTATCAGCACTGCTGGCAGCCTATCCAGCGAAGTCAGCTAACTGCTGGCTTTGTTCTTTTTCTGACCTACCTCATCTATCTTCCATGGCTGTACCAACGGTCAACTGTCCTTCAGCAAATGTAGTGAAGCAGGCGATCAGTCAGATTGTAAATACAATACAAAACTTGTAAGTTCTGCTTCCTTCAGAGTCGCGAGCTTCTGTTTAACATATTAGTTCCAGCTGCAACTCGAACTCGTCTAACCCTCCAATAACGTGGGTAGGAGTGATAGGAGGAGACAGGCTCGTGGGGCAGGTATGTTAAGCCGTTATTGCAACAACTGGCACTAGGAGTTCTTTCTGCCCTTTTCGAACTCTTCTTTATCTTCAGATTTTGCGGGCTTACGTGGAATGTCTTCATCATAAATCCTCGAGCCACTGGCTTCACTATCTTCGATTTGCACTCATACCGGCCCCTCACTCCTTGATGGCAAAGCTTCTTGAGGGTAAGTTCATTTAGCATCATTTTTTTGCTGAGGTTATTTGCATATTCCACTACCATGCATGAATCGTTCTATCGTCGTTGTGTGTTTCCGATAACTCAACTGTTTTAGGACACGATGTAGCGTTGGACCAGTTGTGTCGCGATATGTGGGATCGTTGGACAGAATTAAGTGCTCAGGAAAGGCTTGCGATCACAGAGAAGATGAACACGTGGTTGACAGCTGGTGGAGGCGCTTGTCTGAATCTTCCTATTGGGGAAGCACTACTGCAGTTGACTGAGAGAGGGCAAGACGTGAGTTGATTTCGTAATATTTGACAGACTAGAAAAGATCAGAACTTTCGAACGTAAATTTTATTATTATCCGCATGATTTTCTCCCTGTTCCTTTACCTCAGAATCCTAACCAAGCTGGAATTTGCCTGATTTCCAAAGTTTCACCTTTTACACGTGAAATCTGCTGCCACATTCAAGCTCCTCAGAGTCATGTATAATCATACTGTGTTACGAAAAGCAGTGCTCTGCGATCCACCTTCAATTCGAAATTTTATAGGCAGATGCGTGCCGTGTTTTCGTCCCCTTCCTTACGGAAGTTCGCGTTGGCCAGAGCTCCGAGGATGAGGATAGCTCTTATATTTTCTCTTCTCCACGAGGGATGGAGAGTGATAAGGAGTTCAACTTATCTGGACGTGAGCGAGATTACTCCACTGGTGAATATTTCTCATTTGGCAACTGAATTGCGTATTCATTCCATACACTGTCAGCGACGAGCTCAAGCTTAGCTTTTGGCCTTTTTTCTGAACAATCTAGCGTCGTGCAGTCTCTCAAGCAAGAGCTTGGTAAGCTCTAGCTCGGCTCAAAAGTGCGCCAGCGAATGAAATATATCTGTAGATGTTCACAGGGCTCATTGCTAAGCTGCTAGTAGAAGAACAAAATATAGAGGCTTTTCAAACAATTTTGTTGTTTGTCCATTTTAGGAGTTGGTGGTTCGCCCCCGAACAGCCCTCAGGTACGAACTGATGCTCATGAAATGCATGTGGAATATTGGCTTGGAAGGGATCCATCCAATGTAAGCTTAACAGCTTTACAAAATGCCCATGTTCTTCAGAAGAGTTGGACAGCTTATTCACCCATTTGATGGCATATTATTTAGGAAAATGTCAACATGTTGGCTACTCAAAATTTGACTCCGAACTCTAAAAAGGACGTCAGTAAGGGCTCCATGAAGGCCACATTCCGAACACTTGTGATTACCCGGTATGTCTATTTATGCAGACTCTTTATAATATCCGTTCGTACTGACGTAATTCCAATTCAGATCATGTAATCAACATTTGCTGTCATTGAATTTTGTCAAGGAGAAGAAGAAGGAAAAAATGCTGCAGAAATTGGGTATGAAGAAGGGTCAGGTGAGGATTACTCAATAGAGACCCAGAAGGATTGCATCAACAAGAAAACAAATTCAGGAAATAAGATTCTAAGCTCTGATCATTCGATGGCGTGCACGAAGCTAGTTTAGCCTGCGCAGTTTTTGACTGCTATCCTAGCGAAAGGGGTCCTCCATTTAACCTTTTCGGGAAGCAAACGCATTTTTGGAATATAGGGGTGCTTACTCATTTAGAATACTCATTTT